TGAATTTAATCTTTTTTAACAGCTTTTATTGAGGCATTAATGTACCCTTGAGTTCACCCACTTGAAAAATATCATTCATTGGCTGTTATTGTATTTACAGAGTTCTGCTACCATCACTGTAATCTAATTTTAGAACGTTCACATCACCACAAAAGGAAACGTTATACTCATCAGCAGTAATGCTCCATCCCCGCTGGATTTAATCTTATATCCACATCTCTCATAATAGTTTCAATGATACCTAGTTATTATTACTACAAACGATACAGTTGTTCCTAATTACACACATAATGTATTTATGTCTTTATTTGTTGACATGTAGTGGAAGTCATAATAAGTCTACTTTGATCTCTTGCTCTTACCTATTTCTCTATTGCAGGTGTTACAGTCTTTTAAGCTTTTGTTCACACACACACACACACACACACACACACACACACACACACACGTTAATAACTACCATATTTGAGGTTCATGAGGGTCAATTCTTTGAAATAGCAGGGTTTTTTTTCTGATTTGGGTAGATGACATGTTACATGAAGCTTAAAAAAGCTATTTGGTAAATTGGTATGAAAAAACAAGAGAACAACCTTTTTCCTTTCTGGTACTTAGCAGGAAGGGAAGTTCTTATATAAATCTGTATTTCCTGTTACCCATTTTCAGACCAGTAGTGGTTTCTCATCTATATAATAGGGATCTTTTGGCTCTGACCTCTTAAATCTATCATGTGGTTTCTTTCTTCACTTTGGAAATAGCTTCTTGAAGCCCCAGACTTCTAGAACACATTCATATTAACTAACATTGTCCTGATTTACTACTTAGGGATATTAGTAAATCCTAAATAGTTGAAGATATTCTGAAAAATATTTTGCTGCTTTTTAAAATTTTATTTATCTCGTTTTGTATACAGATTTCTGACACAAAAAAAGATTTTGTTTTGTTTTGTTTTTCAATTGTGGAACCATGGATGCTTTTCTCAATAACTTTCCCATCTTTCCTAATCATACCCTCACTGCAAACATCTAATTTCTATCCTGTCTCTCAACTCTGTTCAGCTCTGCTATCCTACTAATCATTTTTTGTATTCATCTTTCAAAGTATCTGTTTCTGTCTTCATTCTATAAATAACAAGTTTATTTAAGATTATATTGTATTAACACTATTTAAGGGACATGACAGAAATAGTAAAAATGAAATAAAATATCAAAAATAGAATAGTCCACCAAAAATATTTCATCTTTTCCAGAAAGGCACACATATAATAAAGTAAATGAGCATTATATATTTTATTATTCTCAATAATTTTTTCACAGATATATTGCTTTTTGTAAGTTTAACTTTTTTAATGTGAAAACTACAATAAGCTAAATTAAATCTTTAAAATATTTTACTTACTAAAGTCAACTGATGTTTTCTTCGTAGACTGATAGGCTTCTTGTGGTAGTTTTTAATCATATGCAAGTTTTGAGCCCTGTTTCTAAAACTTGTCTGATTGTAAATACATATTTGCTTTCTTACATCAATTGAGAATTTGTTTTTATAAAATTAAAGTGGAGAATCAGACTCATTGGTGAAATGTTGCAGACTTAATGTCAGCAATAAGCAGAATTATTTAAATTCATTCAAATGTCTTTAATTCCTTTGTTGTCTTTTTCAAAAATTATACATTTTTACTACTTGAATATAACAGAAGGCTTTTTAAGGCTTAGTTTTCCTTTATAGATATTCCCTAAGTTCATTTTTATTTCAGTCTGTCAGGGTTGTGATTGTGTTTTAAGGTAAACTAGTATTTTCACATCCTCAGTTGAACTGAATTGGGACAATACTTTGTAGGAAGTTTTTTATATAGTATGTAGACACATTGGTAAAAATCAGTATGTCCACTGGGTTATTAGTTTCACAGATGCTTCCATAATTCTTAGTGTACTCTTGGGTATATTAAATTATCATATCCTGACAGCAATCCTGAAACATGCCAGTCTTACAAAGCCTTATTTCTGAGCACTAAAGCAAAGGCATCAGCGAACCATATCTGACATGCTATGTTAATTTCCATAACTCTCATTTCTGGGAGGAGGTAGTATTTCTAAAGCATGGAGAATCTCAGTAAATCTACTTATTTTTAAAAAAAAAAAAAAAAGCAAAAAATCCATTTTATTCCTGGGTTTCCAATCATGAGGCCTGACTCCTTAAGTACCACTTAAATCATTTCAAAAATAGTGATAAGTATACTTTTTATCTTACTACAGATTATTAAGTATTTACTTTTGTGCACAATATATCAAAACATATTTTGAATTCTATATTCTTAGTGTTGGGTGTTCATGTCCTGAATGAAAACCTCATTCTGTTGTCTCATAACATACTTATATATACAAATAATTTTTGCCTTAAGTAGGAAAGAAACAGCTAAAAGATACATAGGTTATTTTGCTTTTTAAAATTTTAGCAAACTATTCTGTGAATCTTTTGTGTGTTTGGGGCTGAGGAAAATTTCATCAGGCAACATTTTTGGAACATTGGCCTTTTGTACTCTTTCCTAAATAAACTTAAACAGAAACTTGTACACCCCAAAATAAAATGTTTCTTTGTATATTGTTACCTGCAATTTACTGATAATAGAAGGAACACCTTTTCAAACCTTAGTCCCCTTTCCCGCAACACAGCTTTTAGATTGTAGATGAACTTCCAGCTCAGTAATTAACTGAGCTCAATCATTGCACCCTGTATCATGTGATTTTTTTTTTTTTTCCAGTGGAATACATTATTAGAGCACATACACAGTCTAGCTGCAGCAGCCCAGGCGGCAACAGCAGTGCCATTTTTCACAAAGAAAATGTTGAACAGGAGCCAAATGTTTGGTGGCAGTCTGTTGCTAGGAAATCAAGGTCCTGAGGCGATTAATGACAAAGCAAGCAATAACAAGAAGGCAGAATTACAGATTTAAAAGAGAAAAAAGTGGTTGGTGTTATAATTACCCAAAGAAATCCGCACTCATTAAATTGGCTGTTTTTATGATTGACTTTAATTGGAGGTTAGCTCAGATATTTAGCTCCTTTCCCACCCCTTTAAACACACACAGGCACATAATCTGTAGAACTGCAGACTTGTTTTTCTAAGCATTGAGAGGAGCTTGCCCTGTAATTTGATCCCACTGACAGATGCATTTTCTATGCTGCCATTTTGAATTAACCTATTGTAGAACAATTTTCTTCAGCCCTGTTGAATAAAACATCCAGTCTGATTACCTCCGATGGATTTGATAGAGTAAAAGAATGTACTTCTCATTGAAGTAGATTGTTTGCATGGACTCTCCTGATTTTGAACTCTGCCAGTAAGCACAATCATTTGTAATAAATTTTCAAAGAAATTTGTGAGGAAAAGTTAATGAGACTTACCCTGTTATAGTTTAATGTTTGGGCACCTCCATCAAAATAATATTATTCTTATGAGACAGTGTTATTTTTCCAGTAAGCTTTTCACGTGGTTTTGGAAAAAAAAAATTCTGAATCTTCATTTAGACTATTCATATATTTAGGAATAGAGTCTTGTATTTACACACTCTAAAATGACCATTCTTCCTCCCCAACAGTAACAGTATTTTAGTACAAGACTCAATATGCAAAGCACTCTATTGCAAAAATATTTTTGGTATGTACAGTATTTAAAGTGATTTTAAGAATGGCCTATTTCAATCTTTGAAGTACTTCCCCCCCCAATATTCCTTATTTAAATTTTTTAGGGTGTGATGAAGCATATTACTAGAAAAACATCAATCAGTCTTTCAGGTACAATACCAGAGGAACCATCACACTTTATTTACCTTTCAGAAGCTTTAAAAATAAAGTTACATGATGCCTCTGCTCTCCAGATTTCTAATCAAACCCTGGAACAAAAGAGCCAAGCACATTCTATCTGACAATACACACACTGCTAATCAGATGCCAATGCCAAGCTGTCTGCTTTGTTAAATACTTAGCTTCCTAGAGGCAGGAAGACAGCTGCTATAAGTATGATGAAATTTTGTAGTTCAATCTATTTTTGCTACCCTTGGGCTACTGAGATACTGTTAATTTAGACCACCCCAATTGGTACACTTTAGGAAATTTTTTAAAGAGTTTGTAATTAAAATGATAAAACATCATTATTACATCGAAGAGCTTCTGTAAGTTTTACATTTGGCAGATACCTACTGAGATAACCCCAGCATATAATTTACAATGATGTAATGGTTGTAATTGCATTTTAGAAAAAAAGAGAACTAAAGAAGTCAAGTGGAAGAGTTTTTAAATCTGCTTCTCTTTCATTTAGATCTACTTCTATCCTCAAATTACTTACCTACATTTGACTATAGCAGCCATAAATCTTAACATGCTATCTATTTTTTAAAAGTTATCACCCCAGACACTACCACCAGGGGGAGGAAGCTAAAATCTTAAAGTTCTTAACTGATGATGATACGCCAGCAGTAGACTATATTGCTTAGCCTACCTAGTTAACTACCTCTCTCAAATAATACCGCCTTTTGGGACATGATTCTCAAAACCTGTAATATGTGAAACCTGTAGACTTAGCACACTATTAATTATAAATAAAATGGGAACTTTCATATTCTGGTAATTGGGGTTGGAAAGGGGAAAGAGGCAGTATAAATAAGCAACCTGGACATTTTTTTTTTTTTTTTTTTTTTTTAGACGGAGAGTCATTCTTTTTTTCTTTTTTTTTTTTATGTGTCCGTTTCCTCCCCCCCCCCCCCCCCCCCCCCCAAGGGGCGGGGTTTTTGGTGGGGGCCCCCGGGGCCCGACAAATTTTTTTTTTTTTTTTTTTTTTTTTTGAGACGGAGTTTCACTCATGTTACCCAGGCTGGAGTGCAATGGCACGATCTCCGCTCACCGCAGCCTCCGCCTCCTGGGTTCAGGCAATTCTCCTGCCCCAGCCTCCTGAGTAGCTGGGATTACAGGCATGTGCCACCATGCCCAGCTGATTTTTTGTATTTTTAGTAGAGACGGGGTTTCACCATGTTGACCAGGATGGTCTCGATCTCTTGACCTTGTGATCCACCCGCCTCGGCCTCCCAAAGTGCTGGGATTACAGGCGTGAGCCACCGCGCCCGGCAACCTGGACATTTTTGTTGTTTTTCTCTTATCTGTTAATCTACTTGAGGAGCTGTCCTTCTGAAATTGAGTGCTTTAGATCTATGAAACTGGGCAGCTATCATACCACATCTGTTAAGATCTACTAATCACTTAATTGATACAGGAAAATGAATAGACTAAGGTAGTTTTCTATATATTTTTTTTGTTACTACACTGTGGTTTTGTTTTTAATAAATAGTTTGGGTTTTATTTTAAACTATTAATCCAAAACATTTCATAAGCAAAGCTTGCAGGTTCCATCCTTGGAAGATATTCTATAAATGTAGAAAATAGTTGCTTAGGATTGGGATCCAACTCTGTTGACCATGAACAGCTTCTAAGTTGATCTCATAATCTTGCATGTTGTGGAATAATATCATGAAAAAGTTAATGAAGGAATTTAGATGTTTGTTCTCCTGTCTAGAACTCAGTAACTTTTAATATTAACTCTTCTTACAGTTTAACTGTTAAGTAGTAACTCTTGTGACATTTTAGATTTTATTCTGTGAAGACTCGTGATTTTTAATTTTTGCATCCTAATTTTTCGGTTATTTCAAGTATTGAAATTATAAATGATGGGAAAGAAAAGTGGTTGACTGGCGGGGCGTGGTGGCTTATGTCTGTAATCCCAGCACTTTGGGAGGCCAAGGTAGGCGGATCACAAGGTCAGGAGATTGAGACCATCCTGGCTAACATGGTGAAACCCCATCTCCACTAAAAATACAAAAAATTGGCCAGGCATGGCGGCACATGCCTGTAGCCCCAGCTACTTGGGAGGCTGAGGCAGGAGAATTACTTAAACCTGGGAGGCAGAGGTTGCAGTGAGCCGAGATTGCGCTACTGCACTCCAGCCTAGGCGACAGAGTGAGACTCTGTCTCAAAATAAATAAATAAATAAATAAAAGAAAAGAAAAAAGTGGTTGACTACAAAGGGGACATTAAAGGCAAAAGGCAAGTTTTAGGGTGAGGTAATGTTCTGTATAGTACTGTGGTAGTGAATACCTGATTTTATGCATTTGTTAAAGCCCGAAGAATTAGACATCAAAAAGGATTAAATTTTAATTTATGCAGTTTTTTTTTAAGTTGGGATTTCAGGATAGAGTGCAAACTGTAACAAATGAGTCCAATTATATCACAAATTTATGGCATAACTTCACCGAATGTGTGCGGGGGAAGGAGCGGACCTAAGTAACTTTGGAAAATGTTGTTTTAGCTGGACATTGTAAAACTTAAAGGAACACTGTAGAAACACTCTGTATTCTAGTTTGTAAATTTGTTTCTCAAAAGGATATGGGTTAACAGTTCTGAACCCCTTTACATGTATCCTAGAGTTGAACTAATAAGTAAATGGATGATGAATGGTGGAAGCTAGGTTTCTCGCTGTCAGAAAGGAATGTTAAAGATAAATAAAATAAACAAGAGGAGAGAGCTAGAATGAAACCTGTGGTACTGGATTAGAGTTGGAGATATAAGTATTTACTCATGTTTTATTTAATATATGTAGATGGATACATGCAGAAATAATTATAGAAATAAATCCATGTATATACATGGATTAGTATACATACATATGTTTCCTAGCTGTGTTCGCTGAGAAGGCCTAGAAGCAGTGATACCCCAGTAGCCACAAACACATCCAATGCCCACATCCCGGTTTGTAAATCCTATTCTCCAATAAAATGATTCAGGACTTATTTTAAATATGACTGATTCTGGAGCTAGTGAAGGGAAAATACAACATAAGCGTGGAATATCTTGTAGTGCCAGAAAACAAGAGATTACTTAAAAATAGTAAAGATTAAGCATGCCAAAAGGGACACTTGAGCCAACATGAAAGAACTCCCAGTGGCCATAGCCAGAATAATTACAGCAACAAAATAAAACATGTAGCATTGGGTTAAGGATAAATTATTAAATAAATATACATGAGTTTACAGTGTTATGTATAAATTGTATAAATAAATGAATGGAGGAGAAGAGATAAATCTCTCTGACAGAAGAATTCCAAATAACATATTGCCCCCTCCAGAAGATGGATCCTACTTCCCTTCTCCTTGAATGTGTGAGCTGGATTGAGTGAATCATCTCTAAAAATTGAGTTTGGAAAAGAGAGAAATACTGACTTGACTATTTCCATTGGAGAAAGCTGATAAACAACTATGTTAACTAAGTGATCAAGGTTAACATCACAAATGGGTAGTCATGTTCATGTAAAGAGGTAGAAACTTCATCTCTCTGATACTTTCCCTAAACCTGTAGCTTCAATCTAATCATTAGGAAAACATCAGACAAATCCAAACTGATGGACATTCACCACGTAAGTTGAGCATTCCTGAGAACTGTCAAGGTCATGAACAATGAAGAAAGACTTTGAACTTGTCACTGACAAGAAGGGACTAAAGAGTCATGACAACTAAATGTTACATGGTTTCCTGGATCAGGTCCAGAATAGAAATAGGATATTAGTGTGAAAACTGATGAAATCTACATAAAGCCTTGACTTTAGTCAGTGATCCATCAACATTGGTTTCTTGGTTTGGGCAAATGTACCACAGTAATGTAAGATGCTAAAATACTGATATTAGAACAAACTGGATGAGGGGTACATGGGAGGCCTGTATATTATATTTATAATTTTTCTGTATATATAAAATTCCCAAATTAAAAACATATTTGAGGTCAATCAATGGGCTGACTATATTGAAAAGATACTGATAAATTACATGTTGAAGAAAACATAAAATATAGAAAAAGTCAGTTCCATCCCCTCCCAACTCCCCCTTTACCTACCTGCTCCCCAGTAATCATCATTGCGATTTGGTCAGAACAGGGCATAGTGCCAGAGGTCAGGGTGACTGAGGGTGGAGGAGTTGTGGGTAATGGGTTTGTGGCTGTCACAATAATGCTGAAGCAGTTCTGTGGTTTCTCAGCTGGGAGTTAAGAGTGGAGAGGGAACTGCAGCCTGATTAACAGCCAGCTGAAGGAAGAACCGCCTCTCCTTTCCCTAGCTCCCCAATCACCCAAGGCCTACTCCATCACCCTAACTCAAGACCATGCCAAACAAAGTAAGAATGTGGATGTTCTTGCTGAGTCTGTTCTGCAAGAGGCAAAGAAAAGGTAGCTGCTCCAATCCTGTCATCCTCATTATCAAGGGTAAGGGGGAACAGGAGCATGTGGCTGCTACCAACAAAGGAAAAACAGGAGAGCAATAGAAAGGGGAGCAAGTGGGAAGAGCAGAAAATCAGTGTTATTTTAAAAGTGACTTAAAACTTAAAATTGAATTAGTATTTGTCCAGAAAGGTGCAGGTGGAATAACTCACTCTGGCCCATGATCAATATTACATGGAGAAATAAATCATGATGGACCCCTCCCCCTGTCCCCAGTGGTGGCACCAGTTGCTGAGTGTGATTGGTTAGAATGGATTTCAGTCTAGTCGTTCAAGCAGAGGAGGTAATTGTAGTGGGCAGGCAAGAGGGGCCCAGTTGCTGCAGCACTGGCTCTTGCTGGCTGGGTGGTTCTCCTGGAGGTCCATACCTCGGTTTCAGCCTGGAGAACGAGGTGCATTCTGGGGCTTATTCTTGGAATCGTCTTAGCTATCACCATGAAAATTTCATTCACGCTCATTGCATCTTTGCTGACATCTCCACAGTCAGCTTTTGTCATCTCCATAGTCTTATGCTTCCTGGAATTCCAGGAGTTTCTTGCTGGCCAGTTCTGCCTTGTTACCCACAAGTACAGTGATGATGTTGGGGCTGGCCTGCCTCTTAGCTCCTTCACCCATTTCTTGGCTGGTGTAAATATTTCTTTTTTGGTGATGTCATAGCACATGGCAGCCAGGCTGCAATACTGCTCTTTTCCAGCACTGCCCCAGATCTCAAACTTGACTGTTGTGTTGGCCAAGCGGACAGCCTCTGTGAGGAAGGCTGCTCTGATTATGTGCTCCTGGTACTCTTGAAATTGTCCCTTGACAAAGTGGAGGACAAGGCTGGATTTGAACACCACAGACTTATTGTTCCCATCGGCTGGTCCACTAGGTTGTGTGATGTGCCTCGCTGACCCGCGATAACCCATCCAGCTGCAGTGCCAGAGAGCATGGGTGTGGGAGCCAGTGCTATGCAAACAGGCAGGCAGTTGGGAAGGGGATCTCCAAGATGACTCAAGGGCAGTAGCATTACTTAGGGCTGGGACCCAGACAGGCTCTCCTTTTCTCTCCCCACCCGCTGGCAGTATCTCCAAGTAAAAATTTTACTTAAACACAGACCATCTGTGTACTCAAATGCCTGTTTAAAGAAAAAAAATATGACCGGACGCAGTGGCTCATGCCTGTAATCCCAGCACTTTGGGAGGCCGAGGTGGGAGGATCACCTGAGGTCAAGAGTTGTGACCAGCCTGACCAACATGGAGAAACCCTGTCTCTACTAGAAATACAAAATTAGCTGGCCATAGTGGTGCATTAGTGTAATCCCAGCTACTCAGGAGGCTGAGGCAGGAGAACTGCTTGAACCCAGGAGGTGGAGGTGGCAGTGAGCCCAGATCACGCCATTGCACTCCAGCCTGGGCAACAAGAGCAAAACTCCATCTCAAAAATAATAATAATAATAAATTACCAGAATCTTTTCATCTCTGTGTGCCCCTCATGTTCCCCTGCCTCTCTCCACCCCAGGGGTAACCATTATCCTAAATTTTATGATTATTATTCCCATGCTTTTCTTTATAGCTTAACCATATATGTATCACTAACTGTTCTACTGCATCTCATAACCTCTTATATAGTTTCTTTTTTTTTTTGGTCATATTTGCTATGTTCTGGATAATTTCTTTGGATCTATCTTCTGATACTGCTAATTGTGTCTTCAGCAGTGTCTCATATTCTGTTTTACCTGACATTGAATTTGATATAATAACCATTACTTCC